AAAAAAAAATCGTCCCAGCATGTTTGAACTCACCGTAGACTGCCTGTGAAGGRACATCACTTTGAAGCAGTCCTTTTGCTCTGTATTTGGACATCACGGCGACACARGTTGGAGSGGAAGACTCCACAGCAACGAAAGAACACAAGACAACACTCACGAACAACAGAATCGTAGCCATCTTGAATTACGCGAGACAAAGCAAACGAAAAATGACAAGGAGGCCAAGTCGCCTGAGTAGTGTTGGCCTTCCGATGGCAGAGCGTCGTTCAACTACAAGAAATGCTTAGCTCGGCTGGTTGTTCACTGCAATGGTAAAATAATGTTTAAGCAATTTTGAACAGTAGGGAGGCGAAACTCAACGTTCCCTGACTGCGGAATGCAACACGTAGGATCGTTAATTACTATGCTTGTCTATGATGACAGCGACATACAATTGATTTTACATACGTAGGATAAGGGGCGGGCACTGGAACTAAACCACTAGCCAATCATAGCAACGCAACAAAAATACCATCAATCCCTCCGTCTTCTCAAATCTCCCAGATCGTGAATAAATTGACGCTATTTACTCGGATAACACAGGTTTTTGACAGTTCAAATACAACGCTAACCATTTACATTCTGACCTCTGTACCCTCACTATCTGTACCTTAAAGTTGCTCAAATCTATCCCGACTTCTCCAAACAAAGCAATTTTTTCGATAATCGCTTTAGTCATCATCGGCATTGAGGCAGGTCAAAACGAGACCTATCAATATTTTGTTGCAGCAACCAATGACATATCCCAAATTTCTATGAAAGGATTTACTGCACTTGACCACAAAAGGCCCTAAGTAACTAAAAGGTGTTAAAATGACGTAAATTTATTCATAAACAATTCCAAATCTTGAAAAGTGTGAATTTTATGGGCTGGCAAAACTGTCTGGCTGGAAAAACGACTTAAAAATTGATCGCCTTTCGTTTTMAAAGCTGTCAGCATAAAATAACTTGCTCAACAGCTTTGCTGTTGCTGTGTAAACACTGGGGTATCTCAGACAAAAACTAGTTTTAATTGCTGGCATTTCCTGTCGAGAAAGCTTTTCAAAAGCTCGGCCTTTCTAATAAACCATGGGCTTGGTTGCCGATTACAATGGACAACCTGCTTCATTAGCCTTTTACCATAAAATCAAATAAGCCGCTTTCTTGCATACTTGCCTATCAAATACTTCTTCTTTTAACCAAGAAAACGCAAGAAATGTTTAATCGCTAAAGAAAATTTCCTGTGAGTAGTTATTCTAAGCTTTCATCTTAGGACCACCCATAAATTCCTTCAACGAGCGTGAATAGTTTTAGAATGCATTAGTGATATAACCGGTGTGCTTTGGACACTGATTCAAGCACTTATCACAAATTGTACCACTAATATAATGTGAGTATAACCATTTATGGTTAAAACATATACAAATTAGATGATTTACTTTAGCAATGACGAACCGAATAACACACGTGCCACATACATGCACGATGATATCATCGCTATAAGCGTCTCGCTCAATACCACATGATACCAGGAAGAAAGTCCAGGAAATTGGCCAGCTGCTTCGTGCTACTAATAATCTAGAACATGACAGAAGTTTATAATATCCAATTACACTTAATCAATTATTTATTAATGTTATGTGAAAATTGGATTTTCTCTATCAATACAATCTTTTAAACAAACAGTAGGCGATCTACTTTCTTCCAAAGCTAATATTCAGCACCACCTTTCTTATTAGTTTTTTTAAAACTAAGTTAAATATAAAGAATTGAATTGAAGAATTGAAGTCTTTTGATAGAAAGGTGTCAGAAAACAAACACGCCGCTTTAAATGAAAGAAATGAATTAGTCATACCATTTTGAAAAAGGACGTATTACCTGAATAGTCCGTGTAGCACCATTTATATCAAAAGCTACAAATTACATGGATGTCAATCTTCAATTACACGTAAAAGCCTCCGCCGCAAGCCTTTAAAACTTGAAAGCGATTACAYGTTGATTGCTTAAAACCAAAACAAACATAACATTCAATGGACTTCAAAAGGAATGACTTCGCAAGTTGGAAACGTGCCACATAGGTTGCGGTCCATGTGCCCTCGAGGTTTAACGTAAAAAAATACCTCCCCCGGACGATAGTGGACTTTCAGAGATTTTTTTTATAAASGAATAAAAACACTTTAAGAACAAACGCAYAATTTCACCAGTCGTCTACGGGAATCCGTATTATAGCAGGGAAAATTAACATTCACAAACAAYACTT